GCAGCAAAGCATAGGGGTCTTCCTGTAGCCCTAACTGGTCTGGAACTCGCTATGTAGACCAGGCTGGCCTCAAATCCACAAAGATCCGCTTGCTTGCCTCTGCCTCCCAAGTGCTGGGACTAAAGGCGTGCGCCACCACGCCCGGCCTCATGAAATGCCTTACTTTTTATAACAAGAAATTAAAAATTGCAAAAAGTGGTGGCATTCTTCAAATCTGGGGGAGTTTTGTGGTGAGAAATCTAGTCAGATGGGCACGGAGCTGAGCCGGCAGTGTGACTGAGGGTGAGCTAGAGCTCTGCTTTCCAGACCCTTTCAGTGGCCGTGTGTCTTTGACAGGTTTCTCGCTTTTCAATGTCTGCAGATAAGACGACTTTCTTTTCCTTTTGCTTTCATTTGCTTTTCTCGAAGCCACAGAGTGTCTTGTTTTTCAGGTAATCCACTACAAAGTAGGCACATCATAGAAAGGACTTTCTTGGTATTACAGCTGGGACTTTCTGAGGCAGAGGGTTGGTTGTATTGGTGAAATCTGATTATAGAATTGGTGAAATAATATCCAATTTCTTTTCATGAAGACGATAATATTTGATAATATTTTCACTTCTCAAAAAATGCAATGTGTATAAATTACACATGCATCATGTTTGTTGACTTAAAAATACAATATCCAGATGAAACTGGCTTACTTTATGAACTCTGTTTTAAATCACTGACTTACTGAATTTGAAATACGAAGCCAATTAAGGAACTGTCCTTTTGTCAAATTCATCTGTCACAACAAATATCTCCTTTCTCTACATAAAGAGTATGTTTTTATGAGCAGTATAAGCCCACACTGATCTGAAAATATGTTTTTTTTTTTCTCATCTAGCTTTTGTTTCTGCCAGCCTAATGTCACACATGGATACCGAAGGCAATGCTCTTGTAAGTATGCTCTGGAACACCCCAGGCTTTCCATATTGCCAGTTTGATGAGTAAGTAAAATAATAGGCAAGTTGAACTGAAGGTCAGTCCCGTTTGCCATCCTCCATTTCGTTACTATAATGGAATCAAATGACCCTATTGTTAGGGTTCAAACATTTAAGATCTCTGACTATTCAAAGATCAAGTAATATAGCCGTGTATGGAACATAAACCCTGTCTAAGTTTTAAGAAGATACTAACTATGGTACCCCCCATAGGAAATTTTCTGTTAATAATTACATTGTAATTATGGGTTTCTTTTAAGACTGGAGCTGTATTTTTGCCTGAGATAGGTAAGCACATTGAACAAGTGTGTTATTAGTATTAGATCAGGAAGCTTATACAGGGAAACATGGTAGGTTTGTGGTAGTGATGTGGTATTTAGGGATGTGGGGTGGTATAAGGCCCAAGGTATGCATCTTTTGGCACATCTAATGAAAATTTAAAATTTAAAGTACATTCTCACTTATTTTTATTTTGTGTGCCTGTGCCCGTGTGTGTGTGCCTGTGCCCGTGTGTGTGTGTGTGTGTGTGTGTGTGTGTGTGTGTATGTGTGTGTATGTAGGTACACACATGCTACAGCATGCATGTGAATGCAAAGTACAACTTGGGGGAGTCAGTTATCTCTATCTTATGGGTCCTGGAGATAAAACTCAAGTTGTCAGACTTGGTAGCAAGTACTTTTATCTACTGAGTCATCTTGCCAGTACTTAAATACTTTTATCATTAAATTTATTTATTTATATATTTATTTATTTGTGTGTAGACATCCACATTGTGCGTATGGAAGCCAGAGGATAGTCTGTTGCTGGACTTGGTTCCCTCCTACCACACAGGCCCTGGGGATCAATTTTGGGTGTAAGCCTTAGTGGCAAGTTCATTTATGGGCTGATTCATCTTGCTAGTCCTCAACTTTCATGAAAAATTACAAAATGCATGTGCTTGTAAGCGTATGAATATGTGTTATATGGGCAAAGACATGAAAGAAGACGTTAGAATTGCTAGGTCCTTGACTGATAGTTCGTTCATATTCACCACATTGTTTCTCCTTTTCCACTTAATGTAATTTTCTAACAGGGAGAATTCATCTCATGTGTTTAAGACGAAGTAGATGGGCCAGCTAGCTGGCTCAGCAGGTAGAAGTGCCCTGCTACCAAGCCTGACAACTTAAGTTTAATCCCTAGATCCACACGGTAGAAACTCCACCATGTGAATTAAGAAATAGAAATGGAAAAAATTAAAAAGAATAAATGGGAAAGCAAGATAAGAGAGCATTTGAACAAGTTCATTCATTCTTTGAAATATTTCAGTCTAGAAAGACAAAAAGCCTGTGTTCTTTCACATAAGTGCATCTTAGCTTATAAGGTTTGCATGTCTGTGTGTATGTGTGCACGGATACAAGCTCTGACACTAGAAAGAGGATGAGAAGGGGAGAGGTGTTGAGAAAGGGAAGGCTGTAGGTGCAGCAGACAGGAAGGTAGAAAGGGAGCTATGAGGTGGGTGCAAGGTTCAGGGACAGGGCAGGAGGGTGGGGAGGAGTGTGGGGAGGAGTGTGGGGAAGAGCACCAACCCAAACGAATTTTGTTTGAAAGTGCCGTCATTAAACTCAATACTAACTGTGCTAATTAAAAAATAGAAAAATGAAATATTCATTTAATATACCCTCAGTTTACATCCTGTATCAGTGACTATTTTAAGCAGGAACTAGAGATTTAATTTCACTTTACATAAGCTAAGATCTCTACATCTTTATGAAGTGATGTCAGGTATTGGAATAAAATGACAGACAAAATTACCAGAGGTCTACCGTAAGTCTATATAATCCTTGATCTACGGCCATCGCTGCTGCAACACGTGACCCATTTCCCTTGGTCCTGAGCACCGTGGATTCTGTTCTTTAGTGGAAACTGCCTATTTCTGGATCTTTCTCATTTCATGAGCCATCTCCACTCCAGCCTCCATCAACCCAGCTTCCCTTGCGGGCCTCTTTTGCTCTTATTTCTCTCCTAGTCGTCTGCTCCTTGGAGGTTCTGTTAACATCTCTCTTAAGCATTTCACCCAGCTGCTTTTCAGTGTTTACCCTACTTTATTTTTCCATTCGGAAAATTAGTTCAATTTTCTGCTGTCATTTGTCCCCTACATCAAATGTAGCACGGGAGACCTATTTTTGTGCGCCTCATTTCAGAAGGTTTGACACATTTGACCTAATCACATCCCGAATTACACTTCATTTCCACTAAAGTAACATTTACTGAGCTGCACGTGCTGAGCACTCTGCCTGGGGCTGAGATACAAAGACGAGCTGTTACCATTTCATACAGTAAAGAAGATAGTCTTAAGGCACTTTTGCTGCTCCTAGCCAGAAAGTTCATCATTGAGATTGGTTTGGTAAATGGTGCTCAGAATTTAAAACTTAGATTTTAAGTATTTGGAATTTTATCACGTGCAGCATTACCTTTCTTGTTGTTGGGATAGCATTCTTTTCTTCCCTTGTAAAGAAAACACTGGAGGTTTTAGAACTAAAGCTGGGTAGAGAACCTGAAGTAATTAACTCACTAGTTCTAGAGCGTCTGTCTCTTTCTACTGTCCCACTTGTAGTGTGACACTTGTCCTTCCCTGTCCTCACTGCCTTTCACCTCTGCACCATTTCCCTTCAGTCCACCAGCCATTCAAATACCTGAGTGGATTTCCTTAAACGTTAAGTCTGATTGCGTCACTTTTCAGTTTAGGTTGTTGGCTCAGTGGCTGCTACTGGCCTTCCTATAAACCTGATAGTTCAAAAGATGCCTTACAAGGCCCCGTGAGACATTCTCCTGCCCCTCATGGAGGTTCTCCTCACACTCTGTGGTTGGTGCTTACTGGATCAACAATGCCGATGTGATCAGCTCACAGACTCTTTCCTGACTCCCCACTTCTGGTGAACTCTCCTGCCTCTCTGCTTCTGTTGTACCCAACTGAACATTCACCTCTAGACCTCCTTATCATTGATGAATTGTCTGTCTTCTCTCTCTCTCTTCCCCCCTTTGTGTGTTCTCTCTCTCTCTCCCTCCCCCTCCCCCTCCCCCTCTCCCTCTCCCTCTCCTGTGTGTTTACCTATGGAAGCCTGAGGTCAAGGTCAGGTATCTTTCTCCATTGCATGTCACCTTAGTTTTTGAGTCAGGCTCTCTCATTAAATCTGGACCTGGCTGATTTGGCTAGAGTGACTGGCCAGTGAGCCCTAGGGATTCTTTTGTCTTCCCTTGCACTGGGATTATCAATCGTACTGCCACAGTGGACTGTTTAACATGGGAGCCGGAGACTGAACTCAGATCCTCAGCTAATCACTTTGCCAAGGGAGGCATTGCTCCGGCCTTATGGTGTCTGTCCTCTGTCCGAGAACACATTTGGTATTCAGTTTTGGTCCTTGGTACTGAGTCATTTTGTAGTAAGTGATTATTGAATAAACAAAAGCCATAATTTATACCTGATAGCCTGAAAGAAAGAACTAATGGATGCACCTTAAGGAACTGGGTCACAGCTTCTTGTGAGATCTTTAACATGCCTAAGACTCCATCTATGCAGTCCTTGATATCAATAAAGTGTTTATTCCGTGTATCATCCATGGTGATAGCAAATTTTTACAAACAAAATTATTATTCATTTTTCTTTTATGATTTTTAGCTTCTTATTAAAATCAATCAGTGAATCTAGCATATATGATTCTTCAAGACTTGATTAGAAATGATCCAGTCTTAGATGATTTTAGTAACAATATTTTTTGTGAGAAAGGAGAGCAATCATAGCTTAAAGATGACTGCAATCAGAGGGAACAAGATAAATGGGGAACCTTTGACTGACGTCCACAGTTGTTTTACCCAGAGTTCCTGACCATTATTGCTTTTATGTGATGGCTTTCATAGAGAAAAAAAAAATTAAATTAGAATTATCTTAGACCAAAGTTTTATGATTCTGTTTCTAGAGAGTTTTTTTTTTTTTTTTGGTTTTTTTGAGACAGGGTCTCCCTGTAGCCCCAGCTGACGTGGAACTCACTATGTAGACCAGGCTGGCCTTGAGCTCACAGAGATCTGCCTACCTCTGCCTCCCAAGTGCTGGGATTAAAGGCGTGTGCCACCACGCCCGGGCCGAGAGTTCTTTTAAATAGAATTCCTTCATTAAATACTGTCAGAAGGCAAAATGTCAAAAGAAAAGTTTCTCTGGTAACAGCAGTGTTCACAGACAAGCCATGGTCCCTTTGCCAGTTCCATGCTGATGAGGAGCCATCGGTGGATCGAATGGTCATTGGTATCTGACACTGTGGTTCCTTTCTTTGCTGCTGACTGGACTTGGCTGTGGGCTGAGAGCGGGGCTCATCTCAACTGCTACTTCCTGTGTTTGCTTCACAAGAAACTACATTGACTCATTATTCACAAAGATGTATTGCCCAGACTTTATGTGATTATGGGCACTGGATATCCCAGACTGACTTATTAGGCCTTTAAGAAACCTTCCTCTCTCTTTCTCTGAGGCATGATGTGAACCCCAGTCAGGGATGTGGCAATATTTAGGGGTGAAGTTCTTCATGTCAGATTATGTTCTAGGTGACATCAGCATAACCCCACATTGAAATCACCATGCCAGAGCTGCTGTGTTTGAGTCTGAAACACTGATCAGACCCAGGGGACTGGTTAACACATCTACTTGAAAGGGCTTCAAGTGAGAAGGTCATCAAGGCTGCTGGGGACGAGGTTACTGGGTAGGGAAGGAAGTGCCTGCTAGTTACTACTGAAAACTTCTTATACCACGCCATCCCAGGAGAAATTTATTATTTGGGTTCCATATTCTCGGTATTTGGAGGGGACACTTGAGAAGATAACATGCTACAAAAAAGGCACTGTGATTTTTGAGAAAATAGTATTTGAGGTTAGGCTAGAGTTTGTTCAGCAAAAATCCATTTTACTCTCAAGAAAATACTGAGACAACTC